CTGGCGTTTGCGGTACCACTTTACTTTAGCAATGCCATTGGACAGTTTCACCTGCGTATTCAGATATGGTAGCCAACCGTGTTTTGGTACTTCTCGTGTGAGCCTGATGTACTGCGACTGCTCATTTAGTAATCGGAAGCACTCATCCATTTCGGATTGAGTTGATGTTATAATGAAGCAGTCGTCGATGTACCTGCAGTACATCAAAAGGAGAGCGACTCAGTACTGGTTGTTCAATTCTGCTCATAAAGCAGATCGCGAGTACTGGTGCTAGTCGCTGACCCATTGCCAAGCCTCTGACTTGAGAATAATAGCGTCCTGACCATTTGGAAGATATTGCAGCGTAAGCATTCCTCAACCAGAGTCATGATGTGCACTTTATTCAGTCCAAAGGTATTAATAGCGGCAACATGCATATCCAGCATCTCTGACAATGCCTGCAGCGCTTGTTCGTTTTGGACGTTCGTGTAAAGTGCAGTGACATCAAACGACTCCACTACACAATCGGTCCCGAAGTTCGAATTGTGTAGTGGTGCAAGGAATTAAGGATCGTGTTCGTATTTTGTCAGTGCAGAGGGGATCTTGGTCAGCAAACGCGCTCACTATTGTGTGAGGTACATGATATCCGGTCGTTGGTCCACCAACGCAGCTTATAATAGGTCTTATTTTATATGTGCCCGGTGACATTGACAACATATCGTTAGGAGCGAGTTTGTGGGTTTTAACCAGGCTGTAAAAGACTGGACAAGCAGGCTTGTCAAGTCTGAGCCTAGTCAAAAACTTTCCATCAATTCCGGCAGATCTTCCCACCGTCATCCACACACGATTGAGGCGTCTACATTGGCTCATAAAGTCTTCAACGGTGGCGCGATGATAAACGGATGAATCCTGCAGATGGAGTTCGGTTATTTCACGGTCTAATGACTGTGGGATTACGACGAACTCGCCACCTTTGTCGCTAACAGAGACACGTATTGTACCGTTCGATCTCAGCTCACGTACTTCTCTGAACCCTTGCCATTGTTCATAAGTCATATTGTTATGGTGAAGCCGTCTGCATCGATTGAGTGTGCTCAGCACACCTGATGCTAGGACCCTGAACTTCACATCCGTATCGACTACTGGGCCGGGCTCTTTATAGATAGTACGTGGGAATGGTACAGTAGGTAGCAGTCTCTGATTAGGAGCCAAGGGAGTCTGCATGTTGTTATCGCGCCTGCTCTTGTACCTCAGTAGATCCCTCAACCGCTGCAATCCACCCACAACCTTACGGAAAGTGACTGCGTTGATGTTCTGAGCTGGTGCAAACGATGGTCCGAGACTGAGGAAACTCAAGGCATTAGCAGAAAGCTGAGCGCCGCCTAGAACAGTGACTCTTGCCCGTTTGATCGTCATTTTGAGCAGTATCGTTAGTAAAGCGGTGGTCGGTAGAGTTGTTATCACTGTCACTACTGGAGTTCTCCTGGAGCGATCGCAAAAGTCGGTCGTATTTCGCACAAAGAGTGGCTTTTGCCCTAGATCGAATAATGTCACAAATCTCCCTCGACCCACCCTCAATCCTCCTCCAAATTCGTTCCGGTAGAAGACGTCGGCATGCTTCTTCTTTTGCATTACACTTCACAATACAAGAATACAGTACATATTGTTTTCTCTTAATAGCAATCCCTAGAATAGAACGGTAAACATTCATTATCAAGGGATCATTTTCTGGCAAACCACAACATGCGCCGATCTTCTTATTTAAAATGAAGCGGGGAAGCACGCCGGTCGATCTGCAGCGTTGAAGAAACTTGACGGATTGCCGGATGGATACGATCTTTTGTCGAAGGGAGAGTGCTTCGCGCCACCAGGGAGAAGAATCTCGGCGGTATGTCTTCTAGTAATCTCCAAGTTCTCCCTTCTTGTAACCTCGGCATGATGTCGAATGTTTAGTTATTTCTGCCAAACGAGGTTTTAGATAGAACCGTTTTATTGGCCCGACGTTTCGACCTTCTCGTCTTCTTCAGAGGCCTGAAAATGGCTCGAAGCTTTCAATTTGTCACCTACCCGATCAAGCGCCTCCCCCACTCTAGCGTTTCCGACGTCGTGTTCCGAAACCCCCGAAGAACCCAGCAATAACTGCGCTCAACTCACCGAGGTTCCACCGTGCGGAGCCTAGCTCACGCTATGTGTCAGTAGTGTAAGTAAGAGCGAATGAGTCTCACTAGAGTCTCATCGTGTCACATAAGCCAAAATTGTCATTGTGCACGTCGCCCTTACTGTAGCTCGCACTCTGATACAAACGGCAAGAACTCATTAGTAATTGACGGACATTCGTTTCGGCCGTTCATCCTTGGTTTTCTCGCAAAGATCCAAAACGATTCCAGGGCTTTCCTGGAAGAAATCTCTGTCTCGTACCCGAGTATAGTACAGCTCACATCAAAGTCATTCCCGTTATGCTCCTCAATCTTATGCTTGCCAAGAGGAGTTGTCATCATATCACGCCTCTTCCCAGCTAGGTGTTCCTTGACGCGAGTAGCTAAGTCCCTTCCTGTTTCCCCGATGTACGTGCTGTTACAAGCCCTGCATTCAAGTTGGTAAATTACCCCGGTTTTCTCACAATCTCCTACCCTTCCATATGGGCAAATAACGCAACCTGGTGTCATGCACTGCCTATCGTACAGTCTATTGCGAACAAGTTGGCGTTTGATGTTGCTATTGGGAATGCTCACCAAGACAACATCATCCTGCAACTGTGCTCTCACAATACTGCGACGTATTTCAGTGCTGATGTCATCGGAAATAAACGGAAGGCACAAGGGTAGCTTTCCTTGGCGTGATACATGTCGAAGGCTGGCATTCGATGCTCTACGATATGCTCGTACCGCATAACCATTTTCTCCAGCAACTTTCGAAGCTAGAGCTCTCGATTCCTGTCGTTCTTCCTCGCCTGTGCACATCCTGGTTGCAGTCGTGATCATGTTCCTGATGACTGCACGTTTTACTGCAACAGGATGTGAAGAGTTGCAATCGAATCAGGATATTCTTACAGCTGGTTTGCGGTACCACTTTACTTTAGCAATGCCATTGGACAGTTTCACCTGCGTATTCAGATATGGTAGCCAACCGTGTTTTGGTACTTCTCGTGTGAGCCTGATGTACTGCGACTGCTCATTTAGTAATCGGAAGCACTCATCCATTTCGGATTGAGTTGATGTTATAATGAAGCAGTCGTCGATGTACCTGCAGTACATCAAAGGAGAGCGACTCAGTACGGTTATTTGCCCATATGGAAGGGTAGGAGATTGTGAGAAAACCGGGGTAATTTACCAACTTGAATGCAGGGCTTGTAACAGCACGTACATCGGGGAAACAGGAAGGGACTTAGCTACTCGCGTCAAGGAACACCTAGCTGGGAAGAGGCGTGATATGATGACAACTCCTCTTGGCAAGCATAAGATTGAGGAGCATAACGGGAATGACTTTGATGTGAGCTGTACTATACTCGGGTACGAGGCAGAGATTTCTTCCAGGAAAGCCCCTGGAATCCGTATATATATATAAACGAGAAACAAGGATGAACGGCCCGAAACGAATGTCCGTCAATTACTAATGAGTTTCTTGCCGTTTGTATCAGAGTGCGAGCTACAGTAAGGGCGACGTGCACAATGGCAATTTTGGCTTATGTGACACGATGAGACTCTAGTGAGACTCATTCGCTCTTACTTACACTACTGACACATAGCGTGAGCTAGGCTCCGCACGGTGGAACCTCGGTGAGTTGAGCGCAGTTATTGCTGGGTTCTTCGGGGGTTTCGGAACACGACGTCGGAAACGCTAGAGTGGGGGAGGCGCTTGATCGGGTAGGTGACAAATTGAAAGCTTCGAGCCATTTTCAGGCCTCTGAAGAAGACGAGAAGGTCGAAACGTCGGGCCAATAAAACGGTTCTATCTAAAAACCTCGTTTGGCAGAAATAACTAAACACACATTCAGACATCATGCCGAGGTTACAAGAAGGGAGAACTTGGAGATTACTAGAAGACATACCGCCGAGATTGTTCTCCCTAGTGCGCGAAGCACTCTCCCTTCGACAAAAGATCGTATCCATCCGGCAATCCGTCAAGTTTCTTCAACGCTGCAGATCGACCGGCGTGCTTCCCCGCTTCATTTTAAATAAGAAGATCGGCGCATGTTGTGGT